CTCGAGGGTGACGAGGCCCACCAGCGTGTCGGGCTTGTGCGCGACGCGACGCGGCACCTGCGAACAACACTTGCTACACTTCTGTGCACACGGAAGCTGCGTCTCGGATGAGCCTACTTTGTCATATCATTGAATCGATATACCACGAGGAAACATACTAAGAAATAATTACAAATAGAATGAAAACATTGTGGATACCTGTATGGTGGGCTTGGTGACAAAGTCGCTCTTCTCGAAGTCGAGCAGGTTGGGGTTGGAGGCGTGGATGTAGTCGATGGGCTTGGGCAGCCGCTTGGCCGCCCCCGCAGCCCCCGCCGCCCCCGCCACCATCGCCGCGCGCCCCGGACTCGCCTGCACGTTTCATTACACAACTAAAATAATGATGTAACAGCAATGGTAATTGTGTCGAAGCCTCTAGCGTGAGTTCCTTCCTTTGCCTTCCTCCATGAAATGAGGCACAGAGATATATGTCCGCATATCAAATCATGAGTGCGGACGAATGCTGCCGCCGGTACGAGGAAATAAAATGAAAGTAGTATGAAGAGGCGTACCTTGCGGGGTTTGTGCTCCTCCTTGGTGCGGTTACGGGAGAAGAAGCGCAGATACTTTCTGTCGAGGCTGGCGGCGGCGGGGGCGGGGCCGGGGGCGTGGCCGGCAGGGACGGGGGCGGGGGCGTGCGCTACGCTCTCCTGCGACTCGCTGCGCTGCGCGCGGTGCGTCAGCTTCTTAAGCGACCCAAACTTAGACTTGTCCTTGTCCCGCTCCCTCTCCCTCTCCCTCTCTCTCAGCTCGTGCCGCTTCTCCGGACTCTCGCTGTCCGACTCGGTATCCGAATAATCCGTTTCAGAAAACTGCTTAAAGATTTCCTGAAAATGAAATTCAACGTTTTCCGATAGATGTCGCCAGCGGAGGAGCACATAAGTACCGGCACGTACCGGCGCCGTCACATTTTATCATTAAATCAAATCGAGTACTGCTTTGTTTATTTTTTACTATTAAGAAAGAGTTTTTGCAACGTGTTGAGAGTGTTGTCCTTGGTCTTATTTAATGTTTCGTAGCGTTTCTTTGTTTATATTTAATTTGTTATAGTTGTTATGATAAATTCGCAATAAACAATTTAAGCAGTCGCACTAAAAGTCGAATCGATTAATTTTTTACATCGAATGTAGTTTTGTAAACTGTCAATAGAACCTCGGAGTGGCGAGGGTTGTATGAGATGTGAGGCTGACCGTGGTGGCGGTGAGCGGCGGCAGCAGCGAGGGCAGCAGCGTGGCGCGGTGGATGAGCTGGATCCAGGCCAGCATGGCGTCGCGCGAGTCGCACGCGAAGTAGAAGGCGGTGCCCGTGTGGTACACCTTGAAGGCGTGCGCGCGCGACTTCACCTCCCCCGCCGCGCACACCGTGAACCCCTCCAGGTAGATCATGCAGTCCGCGCGCGACCACTGCGGACACGCGCGAGCCCGTCACTGTGGCTGCGCAGTGCGCAGTGCGCTGTGCGGTGTGGGGTGCGCACTGCGCAGCGCGGGGTACTCACGTCGGGGGAGCGGTAGGCGTAGAGCAGGTTGTGCGCCAGCAGCAGGTGGCGGCGCGCCCAGCGAGGCTGCTGGGCGGTGCGCGCCCGCACGCGCTGCCACACGCCGCCGCCCGCCGCGCCGCCCGCCGCCCCTCCCCGCGCCGCCACCGTGCGCGCCCCCACCTCGCGCCGCTCTGTCGGATGCGATCACATCGACTCAGCTCTAAATACAAAGTATTTCGCTCTCCCGATGCAGCTGTCGCTGTCTCTTGTAATCGTAGGTGACTGCCGACGTCGTTCAATTTTATGTCCGAAAATAAAAATAAAACCGAAAATACTGACTGGCCAGCATAGAGTTCTTCTTCTTGAGGCTGCGCGTCTTGGAGGAGGGGAAAAGCGCGCGCGAGGCGGAGGAGGGGGGCGTGGACACGGGCATGTGGGCGGGGCCGGGAGGCGGGGAGTGGGGGGCCTCCGCCTCGCCGTTGATGGGCGGCAGCGCGCGCCGTTCCGTCGACACCAGCCGGATGTCGTGCTTGGTGATGTGGCGCACCAGCGACCCCTGCACAGTTCCACCGCACTCATTACATCGCGATACAAACACTTTTCACACGTGATACAGATGCCCCAACTAGTCACAGAAATAGAATAGAATACTAGTTTTTCTAACTTAAAATGAGATATATTTTATTCGTTATACTCCAGCCATAATGTAGTAATACCTGCGAGTCCCTGGTGAGGCGGGGC